CACACACACACACACACAATAGACTAATTCTTCTTGAACATCACGTTCAATAGGAACAAGAACGTGCTGCAATTGATTTGTTTTACCACAGTAAGTGTTCAAAAGGGGGCTGACTCTGCTCGTGTCATGCCAGCTCAATGTCTGACTTTCTCTGTGGCTTTCCAAAAAAAAAATACCACACCTGGGACTCCCCACATGTTGGCAGCTGAAGGAACCACCTTACACCCACTGGTTCCTGGAGACCGCTCCGTGGGGCCAAACATAACAGTAACCCTTGACGTGGTCATGCTTTCTATGAACGTTATGCTGAATCCAAAGTTTTCCATAGTCAGGGTCCATGAAGCCTCTTTTCTCTTTGTAAATACGTGGTTTGGGATTTGACGGGTTTGAGCTGTAATACCTGGAAATATTTCTGTGGTGGTTTATTCTTATGGTTCTTAAAGACTGTTTGTTTTGGACCATTAATTATACTGTATTTAGATAGAACAGAGGAGACAATTCTACAAATCCAGCTTTCAAATTTTATATGTCTTTCTTCTTTTTTAATAATTAAAAGCCTAATGGTCCTTGGAGGGATGAATATTGCCCGCTTCATGCCATATCAACTAAAATCATGTTGTGATGAGAAGGAACAAAGTTTAAACTGTTCTGGTTAAACCTTAATATCAGAAATGTTAGATTTTATACAATATTGTGAACTCGTATGTAACATGTGTTCTAGTCATTTTTGATTAGTTGTGGTGGCCATATTGAATTGGAGTTGGAAGTTTCATTGAAATCCATCCACTGATTAATGATATATTTTGCTAACAGACAAATAGATTACAACACACAAAGGAATGGGCAGAAACATTATTGCACTTTTATCTTCAGCAGCAGGCAATAATAAATATTTTTAGAGTTCCACTGCAAGAATTAACATCTAAATGCAATAACATCAAAATAAAAAAAATATATGATCTTGATAATGAAAAGAAAACCTTTCTTGTGATAGTTGTGCAGTTGATATTTGCTTCTTACCTAACACTTAAGTCCGTATTTTGCTTTTCTTGCAGTTTTTTTTTTACAGTAATTCTTCTGTTGTGACTTATTGGCGCTAGCCTGTATAAATAAACTGAATTGAATAATTAGAAATAATCTTGTCTAAAACTTTGATTACAACACATTCACAAAAAACAATAATAATCTGTCCAGATGACCTGACTTAACTTTTTTGGTGATTTATTTACCTGGATGATTGAGCATGCATCAGGACAACACATTCAAACTTTATGGAAACTACTTCACTTGCAAGTACAGTACAGTTCTTCCTCCCCCTGCTGGCCATCCTACTACTTTTCCTGAGCAGATAACCTTTTTTTAAATGCATCATGTAAAAGCTCATTATTTCCATCATGTGGGCATTGTTTACAGTAAAAACGATGTACAGTACAGTCATAGTAGAAAGGAAAAGCAGAAAATATAGGAAACTTCCAATGAAGCTTGAAGTCCCAAGCTGTCTTTAAAATTACATTTAATCTTTTGTATTTTAATGTGCACGATGTTTTTTGCCCTATACACCAATAGCTACACAGTTTCTACCCTTTTAAATACAAGGGGAAAAATATATATACAAATGTTGTCTGTACTCCGGCTAAACCGGAAGTTTACAAGGGTTGTTCCTCTTGTCAAACCTCGTCGCTCTTCGAAAACGTCAGCAAGAGGTAGCGTAAAAACGATCCTTTCCTTTAGGTCTACATTAATGGAATGATTTACTACATCCTTCTGGGACACCGCAACAATATAAAATAACTCTCTGTGAAAATATGGAGCATAAAATAACTTAAAGTACAAAACGTTTGTTAGTAGATTAGCATTAGCCGTTCAGTCGGGTGGTGAGCTTGAACAGAGAAAGTTGTGACGCACTTCCTGTTTTAAAAAGATGGTTCCATATGTTTTATTGAACTGACTGCTAGTATTTTGCCTTTAATGGCTTATGTGTTGGGCGAAGCTATGATTACAGTATCTCACAATTTAGTGGTGAAATTGTTTTAGGTCCCACTAGAGGGCAGACTTGTACAGGTTAAAGTTAACTAGTGTAAATAGCCATAGTAAATAAGTATTATACTGTAATGTGTGTGTGTGTGTGTGTGTGTGTGTGTGTGTGTGTGTGTGTGTGT